CCATTACCAACTGTTATTCAGTTTTTACATTTCCAAAAGAAATGCAGGGTTTCATTAATGGTCGGATTTTGCACGCGTTGCTCTGAGATTGCAATAGTCCACACATGCGTGAACTCTTTTGCGCTCTTGGAGCGTGACCTCAACAAGAAATTTTATCTTAGCCGAACAAGTACACTAATATAAAATTGGCTCAGTTGGCCAGTGAAAGGTACCAACTTTATTCTCAAACAGAAAAGAAGAAAAAATTCACCTGGAGATATTCTCCTATCGCACTTTTCGAAGCACACCAGGCCCCATTCCCCTTTGGTCCCGCGGTCAGATGTAACCGAGCCTGGTGCGGCTCATAATAGCTCTTGGAAGAGCTGGCACCCAGCTGTGAATCTGTTATTTGGCCGTTTTCAAGACCTACAGCGAGGTAGCAACCTAGTGAAAACAGAAGATTGGAAAACATCCCTATATGAGTCTAGTACAGTTAAAAATTCAATATTTTTTTTGGTAGAAAACTGAATATTTCTTACCATAACTGTTTTTACACTTGTACAGCTGATTAAGCTGTTGTTTATCCACGACTGATAAACCGTACATTTGGCCCAAAACCACATGGGCTCCGGCGCGTGATTCTATTGTGTTCTTTCCATTCCTGCTCCAGCTGTTTCGAGGTAGGTGCATGAGGGATGTTTTGTCATATGGTGCCCCCAGCCGATCCACTTGACCATGACTGTACTTTCTAAAGTTCTGTTCATAACCTATTGAGAGGTACAACAACATGCCTTAATTCGCTTCTGATGAATGGATACCAGATCTCTTGGCTAAACTGGTAACTGCTCTTCGTCCCAGGACTTATGTCTAAGGCCATGACAGAAACGCAGTTTCTTTTGTCGCTCAAAACTCAGTGAAAGCGTTCAAAAACCAAGCGAAGATTTTGTTCAGACAAGTTTTGCGACATTTATTACTTCCTGAACTCTTCAAGTTTTTAATCGATTTATGAAACTCGTGTTTTAAGCAACGGTGCTGTTTCTTTTCCCTAGTCAACCAATCAGAAAGGAGACTGAAGCCAGACCTGGCTCCCCTTCAGGCTTTTTTCCGGGCTTAGTAACCGCATGGTTTTAGTTGCATCAAGATTTCTTACGTCCAACTCTGATTGGTTCACTACCTTATCCGGGCATGTTTTGATTGGTCAGAAGTGATTTGTTAAGTTCCAGTTGTACGATGCTGCGGTTCTTTTGTGTGTTAGGCTTACTTGTGGTCACAATGAGTTCCTCGATTGATCTGGTTTTGCAAGAATTAATGTCCAAGACAGCTGATTTCTGACATGCGCACTACTCACCAGGTCTGATGTTCTTCGAATACACGATAACATAAGCATCCCGGTCAGGCCGTGAGTTTGTATGAAAGAAACCGACAGTATGCATCAACTCATGTAAAATGGTGCCCTCGTACTCACAACCGTATCCTATAGAAACCACCTGACCTTTTGGATTCATTGTTCGACCGATACAGGAGTAGCAACTATCACAAAAAGAAAAAAAAAAACAGTATGATGGATAAGTTATAAGAGGAATCCCCTTTGTGCTACAACTATTATTATTTCTTGTGTTGCATGAAAGCTCCCTCTGTGCTAATTTGGTTTGTGTTTTGAGAGAGGCCAAAAAACATTTCAGCTTTTAATATTGAGCCTTCTTTAGTTAAAAGGTAAAAAGTTCCAAAAAAGCTTTGCGTGTGCTAACAACGAAATATAACTGTTAAAATTTGACATAATAAAAGTTAAAAGTTTATACAATGGTTCCAGTGTGTTGAGATCCAACTGACTTTTTTTTAAAGTTTACTTTCATTTCGCCCCTTATAAGTCTGTTGTCTCATAACTGATTCATAAGTTACATAAGCTGAGTTATTGACGATAACTCACCCTTGTCCTCGTATAAACCTTACAAAGTACGGTTCATTTGTTCTGGACTTGAAACGCAAACATGAAAGCCTTTCCATCGTGCTCATGGCATTGGTTATTGCTGAGCGTGCGTGAATGGCTGTTAAGTAAGAAAACAAAATAATGTGGAGAAATTTTCCTGAAGGAACACTCATTTCCCAGCTATTCGTGCGTGTGTGGGTCTCATTCGCCTTCGCTCCGTGTACAATATAAATAGCCAATCAGGAAGCTACAGCTAAAAATTTGATGCATATCATAGCGTTTATCTAAATTTTCCCGCCAAAAAACCTGGCCGGCAGCGCGCGCCAGGTACATTCTATTCAGCTTGGTTCAGATATTACAAGAAGAAGTTCAAACATTACAAGAATAAGAAACCAAATTAGTATATCGAATTCGACTTTCTATAGTTTGAAGCTTCAAAAACATGATTGCTACAATTGTAGGTATTTACCGAAAAACCCAAGAATGCGGAAGAAAACAGCTTTGGACGGCAAGAACTTGCCATGTAAGGTATAAAGCAAATCTTGCATAATCTTACAGGTCTTTTTTTATCTTTACCATTGCCATGACTAGATAATATTTGCAATTTTCTGGCTATCAGATTGCTTAAAGCTAACCTAGGAATTTGACATGCTAACGTTAAATGTAAAAGTTTTGTAAGTTCTTGTATATCCGGCTTCATTCGAAGTAAAAGCTTATGCTAATCTTACTTCTTGCAAGCTGTTCGTCTTGTAGCGGTTATTTTATGGTAAAGGCCTGGTAACACAGTGTTTTCTCGTGACTTGAGTTTTCTTTGTATACCCCACTGGCCTTAAGACTCGAGTGCATTCTGAAAAATCATGCAAGCCACTCGGTGCGGGATATTTCACGGTATGCAACTCGAAACCATTGAAAAACTAGCCTGTTAGTCCCTCGCAGAAAAAAACTTCAAAATCCAGGCATCAACGTTAAAAGGATTCCTTAAGAGCTAGGTAAGTTTTGCTAGCCCAGTTCCGGTCATCGACTGACTTTCTAGACTTTTGGTATAATTCTACTGAGTGGACAATGGATCTGTTCTTTGTTCCCCAACCTTATTTTTTTTTTACCCTCGTTCCAACTTCTGGGTGCTTTTCCTATGACAACACATGACTCAATGTTTCAATATTTCCCCTATTTCTCCTATCTCCTATATGCCACCTTTGGAATCCCACTTCCCCCCGCCTCACCCCCTCTTCTTGCGTAAAGTTCCCACCCCCTTTGACCCCAGGTTTCTGCCCCAGGCTTCTGCCCCTGTCCCCTGCCACTCTTGGTTACAAGGGCCAATGAAGTGACTTGCTCCGTGGGGAAGTAAGTGACCCGACATCTTTTCGTTTGTTCTCCTTGGAGTGGTCTAAACCTAAAGCAAACTATATTGCTTACAAAGTTGACAAGCAAAAATGTACGTACTCAGCGAGGATTCCAATACATACGGAACGATGCCTCCTGGCCATAGGTAAATTTTCTTGTTAACCGAAGCACGGCTGATTTGTCCATCCAACATAATATCTCCCTCTAATAAGTCTGAAAGAAAATATTTCACACATTACCTCAAATCACAAGTCTTTTGAAAATATTTGCTTAAATTTCTGGTTAGAGTCCCTTTTCGCTGTTTGCTTTCCAGTGACTTGTATATTTTTATTTCTTGAATTGATTGAAAATTATAGTATGCCGGTGATTGTGCGAACAAACACTAAGAAAGTCTTCGAGTTATTTTACGGCTTGATACTAAATAAAAACATAATTATCACAAAACTGCAGCGTACGCGTTCATGGAGTTGTTCAGCAACGATTCGTGAGGCAATCAGAAAACTAGAAGTACCGCAGTAAACTATATTCTGTATTTCGACAACAGTATGTATCTGGGGTACACTCACTGTGTTCACTTCATCTTCCCACAAACAATGGGTGTGCTAAAAATGCGGCAAAATGTCGGAATAGAACGTATGTCTATGTATGGACGAGTGGTTACTTCTCTGTGCTCCCTCATTGTCACGAAATGTGGTTCCATTTGACCAGCAACTTTTTTCTTGCCAAGAGATCATCCCAAATTATGTTCTAACTTTATTGAATAGGAAGTTATGGTCGCCTTATTAGAGGGCTCGTTATTTTTAGTTGGTGGCAAAACCCTGTTATAACGTTCAAAATTGATTTCTCTACCTGGTCTCGACATCCAAGGTGGATCCGTTGCTGTGTTTATTACTCCCCGTGTTGTTGGTTTGAATGTAGTCGCCGAGTCGGACATCACATTTATTGGACCTGGCACGAAGAAGACTGAAAATAGTAGAAAGAATATCACTGTTAAAAACTGGAGGCGTTGAAGAGCCATTTTGAGAGCCACTTAATATCCTATTTCACGGTCTCGCGGGGATCCGAATATCAAGTTTTCTCTTGCCAGATATCAATGTTATAACCGGCCCGAATGGTATAATACCGTTCATTATTCATGGCTGGCGTTTTTGCACAAAAAACGTGTAAGCACGTCGTCGCAGGTGTGTAAATGGAGAGTTCGTGTCTTTGCACATTAGAAAGAGGAATTGTCAAGGCGTTGTGTGGTCAGCTTTCCCAGTGTCGATCATGGGGCATACGAAGAGGAAATCCTCGTAGTTGATAAGCAGATGATCGCGGGGATAATAGGAACAGATAAAAAAAACTAGAATCAAACGAAAACGCGAAGAGAGAAAAACAATTGAAATAAAGCCATGCTAATAAAATTAAAGAATGTTTTCTGGAGTGTTTTCGTTTGTCGTCATGGAAATAATTGGCAAACGTGAGGGCTTTAAAAGCTGTTAATTTTGGGTAAATAAGTAAAAAATATCAGTGTGTTCAATTCCTTTATGATACCAAATGACAGTTCAATGGCTTTAATACAATCGAGGGTCCGTAACCCAATCTGAGGTATAACAGAGGATGGACAATACATGAATAGATCGTTAAAAATACAATTAAACCAGAACTGACTGTGTACACGAGGTGTCATGTAGCAAAATATCATCATGACAATAAGTGACAGTGTATGGAAAAAGATATTTCTTTTATCTGCTCAATGGAGGGTGCTTTTCATATAAATAAGATCGCTAAAGGGTTTTGACAAAAAAAAAAACACTTGAATTAGTAGCATATTTTGTGTTTCCAGACTCCTGTTATGCTGTTTACGTGGTGGTGAAGCTTGGTCCGGGTCGCCATGTTGCTCTATTAATATTGTACATAAACATGGTGGGCGCATCAGAACACCTCAAGTCCCCATTTCTACACATGCTAAAATTCTATTTGTGATGTATTGCTTGCGAAGAATTCCCTGACTAGAAAATTTTGACAAGTTTTTGTCATTTCATATATTATATCCAGAGTATCATTTTTGCTTCTTCTTGCGTAAAATTAAAAAAGGTATCGACGGAAGCACTCCATACTGAAGAAGAACACAACACCTGTGTTGACACACTGATATCCAAAATCCTCAAAATTGAGCATTCCCATTTCCACATCACTTTAAAGTTACTTAGCAACTTTGTCGTCAAAGATTAGTGCCCAGATGTTTTTGGTTGCCCGGTCAGTACTAGCCGATGAGCCCTAAAGGACTTAGACACTAGACCAAGTACGACTCAGCAGATGCCTCTCTATTGAAACTGTGGGCTCAAAACAGTCAGTAGGCTATGTTTGTATTCTCGGTATTGGACTGGAACTAGCTTCCAATAGATGCTTGTTCTGGGGAAAAATTGCCTTGGAATAATGCTAATAGAAGGAGAAGAGAGATGTCACTGACGCTTTTGAGGTCACGGCGGCCTGTTAGTGTTCCCAAACAATAACATTTCCCTCCCGTGGGAAAGGAGATCCTTTCTTATGCAACTATTTCGTGTTGTTTGACACATCAATAGGGCTGTCACGAAAACTCTCGATGCTTTTATTAAAACACACTTAGTCAGACTTGTGTTTTTTTTCTAATTGGACGTGACACTTAAAGGCTGGTAGGCTGGTTTTCACTAAGGCATAAGTATAAACATTAGCCTGCGAGAGCATCCGGTTTTTTTCGGCTCTTGTTTCGGTGGAGACAAGCGAGATCCGGAAATACGTTGAGTTCGCAGGCTTCATAAACATAAGCAACATATGCAGACATATAGTTTCACCGCCGAAACTGTACATGTACAAGCTATGACAGATAATTATTTTTTCGTTTTAACTGTGGCCATTTTTCTCAAAAAGGGATTTAAAATGC